CCCACTTTGGTCAAGCCCCGCCCACCGATGACAGTTGACCTCCACTCCTCCACCCACCTCTATCCACCTTTTTCCCGCCTCCGGGACTTCTTGGAGCCGAGTTATGAATTTTCGTCGCAAACTCCGCCCACTTTGGTCAAGCCCCGCCCACCGATGACAGCTGGCCTCCACTCCTCCCCACCTCACCCACCTCTATCCACCTTTTTCCGGCTCTTTAAGACTTCCCCGGCCCGAATTATGAGGACTTGTAGAAAATGCTGTACACTTCAGAGCGCGCCCCGCCCATTGTGGGCGGGCCTCCGCCCACGTCATGTATGCTGGAAACACCTTAGACATTGCTCCCTTACACCAATTTGTTTTCTGCTCTGTAGGCTTTCTCCCAACCGAGTTATGAAATTTTTCATAAAGCACTGCTTTTTTGGAGAACGCCCCGCCCACCGGGGGTGGGTCTCCCTAATTCGATGTGACTTACCAATGCACACCTTTACCCACTTTTTGGCCCAGTTTCGAGGTTTTTGTCACTGAAATTGAAATCTTGGTCTTCGGTACAGTTCATTTCGACGCACGCCACGCCCACTGTGGGCGGGGCTCCGCTTAGCTGATGTGTGTTTTGTATTTCGTGAGACCTTGCCCACCCATCCCACACTTGACCCGGTCCCTCCAGGCGGATCCCGAGGAGCTAGGGAATTTCGTGACAGACATACAGAACGACAGACGACAGACGACAGACGACAGACGAAGCGCTTTATAGTAAGTAGGATAACTGTGAAGAATGTGAACATGTATTCTGAAAACATTTTATGAGATCGTCCTAAAAGGCGAAAAGTTTAGCAAAAACTACTGGAACGATGGTCCAAATCAGAGAGAAAGAGGACGATGAGTTGCACAAATCCGTGTTGCAGCAGCAAACCGTAGTGCCTGTTGCAGGGTTTGTGCAGCCGTTGCTCTGAAATTTTAGCGATTATTGAATATCAATAGAACAATAGAATCGCTGTATTCACAATGTCTGACACTGGCCTAACACTCACTGTTTCTACATAATGGGTGTACAGACCAAAGTAAAGGCAGAGAGCCACCGCTGTAGGTCTAATCTTTTTGTTTCACCTTTTGATAAGCGGCCAGTACGAACCTCATATTGGCCCTTTTCGGTCTTGACATTTGTTGGCTTTCTCGCTGTAGTTGTTTGCTTTGCTGCAGACAAGGATACAACCTTTATCAGCGCTACCGATGAAGCTGCTTCTCGGATTAGCGTATGCTTTTCCGTGACGCGTCATGCTTAATGGAGTCTTATAAGGCGGCTTCCCGTCGCTGATAAGATAAAACGTGATGATGGCATTCCGTTGAAACGATTCCAAAGATTCCCATAAAGATTACATGTCGCGCGTGTGAATGCGTTTACGTTTCTTCCAATATAAACAATTTCAATAGAAATCAAATCATTTCTGTTAGCCATCAAGAGGGTGGAGATTTCCAACTGAGTCATTCGTTGAAATTCCAAGTGCCTAGGATGTTTCATCCCAAGAACAAGGAATTCATGGGTAGGATTTTTTCCTTCCAGAAAATGGTTCAGGTCTTACAAGGGAAGGATACCAAGTCGAAAAAGCCATTTGCAGTGGAAACCTACACTCAGACCGCCGTCACTCGGCGACGGACAAGCGATGGAGCGATAGCGCCGCTCCATCGCTTGTCCGTCGCCGAGTGTGACGGCGGTCTCACAGACGTGTTCTGGGATGCTGATCTCAAATCCTTCTTCCAAACCTGCGGAAAGATTCTCTGAACAGAGTTACAAAGGTCTTAAATAACAGCTAACTCTAACAAGGGAGGTCGTTCAGGGTGTGCCAAGCTTTTTCAAAACGGTTTCTTGCATGATATAGGGGCACATGTGGGAACCACAGAACCATGGTTCATTTTTCCTGAACGGCCCTCTGAATACCAAAAAGGGGTCCCTAGTTCGATTCCTCGTGGTGACAAATTTTTGCATTTCGAGTTGACGTTTCAAAATTCGCGCAAAATGGAGTTAGCATGAATAATTAGTACCATATTCATGATTAGGACCGTCAGTAACCCTTACAAATAGACTTTGATTAAAAAACTGGTGGAAAAGTTGTGACATCACAGTGGGCCGTTTTGGTGTCACACCTTTTTCACCAGTTTTTTAATCAACTCTTTTTGTAAGTCTTCTCGCTAGCTCCTTCTACTTGTAATAATATGGCGAGTGTTGATGACTTAGCATAGATGAGATCTCCTTAGCAATGTCTCAGGAAAAGCAAAAGTCAAACTCGCCGAAGAATTCGATCTCACGACCTCTTTCCCGTCGGCCGGGCCGCTGCCACTGCACTATCTCGCTTCATAACTACGTTCAGAGAATCGTTCCGCAGATTTGGAGAGCAGATTCGAGATCAGCGTCCAAAAACACATCTAGTGGTGTATGTCTCGTTACAAATGGCCACTTCGACCTGGTATCCTTTCTTTGTTAGAGCTTCTCTCCTAGTCACATAGTATACATCAACAGCCAAGCTCAGCTCGAATTTTTTTGTAGACCGAAGATTTTAGGTAAATTGAGGCTCCAAGCAAACTGAACGTACCGTGCACGAAACACCACCGCAGGCATACGTTTTGCTGATAGACCGTTACTTCAATTACTGTCCTGCAATCATGATTTTTGATTGCAATATATAGTTTCTATTTAAAAATTAATAGCAAAAAACTTTGCAATGTTTCCTGATTAAAATAATGTAGACATAGTTTTAAGATTGCATAACAGTGATAAGCTCTTATCTCTTCACTATTTGGCCATTGTTTATTTTACCATGAGGTAGTTGGGCGGAAGTGGTGTAGTGGCAAGTGGCACGCTTACCACGCGAGCGGTCCGGGGATCAAATCCTGGGTCGTGAGTCGCCCGGGCCAACCAAGCCTTCCATCCCTCCGGGTCGGTTAATTGGTACCAGACTTGTCTGGGAGGATAAAAACACTGACTTGTACATCGGCTGGCCCCCGCAAGTCATTGTATAGGCCACATCGCATTCAAACGCCACTACGAATTCTTTTTTATCCATGGTGTTGCTAAATATCTCGCTTTATTTTGGGTATGGATAAACGTATAACAATTCAGTAAACCACATGGCATTCTTTGGTTAACCCCAATCCCAGTCAATATGAGAAGGCAAAGCTTCACTTACTTGGTGCAGAACGTGCCGACTGGGCAAGAAACTGACGTGGAAGGCTTCCCATCACCGGATATTACCTCTGTAATGAATTTAAACTTCGCCACGACAATTTTCAACTAAAATCTCGTCTAAAAACGATTCTGTGGTGATAGTAATATTCGAGAAAGAACACAAAATTGTTTGTCCATAACATACCTGTATAACACTTGATCGCAACAGCTGAAGCAACCAGCGAAATGAAAATTACTAGATGTCGGAGGCCTACCATTTCAAATGTGCGCTACGATTCCATCACCCCCTTATAAGAGGCCAGTAATCAGCTGATAAGCAATGACTCGACATTTGCGCACAGGAAAGCGTACAGTATGGAGGCGGGTGGATCAAAGAACAATGGGTGAGTGTGCACCTGGGGCGGACCGAAGACTAAACTTTTATCTGATGTCATAGCGCACCTGTGAGATAATGAAAGGTTGCGTCTTTAGCTGCTTCACAAACCTGCAGGAATTCAGCTAAGCGCACTAAACTACACAACGATTACTACTAAGGATTAGTAGTTTCGCCATGTACCCCCTGGTGCAACTAGCAAGTAGATGCTGAAGTAGATCCTGAGTACATTTTTGACAGCCCACAACGCTTCTGAAATCAGGGACGAGGATTGGAGTTGGCCAAAAAACTAGCTTTTTTGGGTTAAATGTTTGGAAGTTCACGCAAGTATTCTCCTACTACCTACCATCTCATCAATGACCATTTCTCGAATTATTGTTAGTTATTGTCGTCCATGGTAATCGGCATCGCTTCGAGAGGAACTGGGTCTGCGTCTGAGAACTACTGGGTGAAACAATTTGAAGATTCGAAAAAAAAAACCCGATTCATTACACGATGAGTCATGCAATAGTACCGCCAAATTTACTTTACTTTAACTACCACCAAATTTAATCTACTTCTCTACTTTACTAGTTTCTTTCAAAAACCAGAAGCGCGTCGAGTGCAGACCACACACCACAAGTGACGACGGCCTCAAAGTGAATTTTGGTAACTAGTGGTTCATAGTGATAGCTGATAGTTGGTAAATGATAGTTGTAATTAGTGACAACTGATAGAATACAGCTGCAACTGGCTAATCAATTCGAACGCAAAAAAAGATCGAGATTTTGGGAAGGCCGGCGTCACTTGGAGTGTGCCCTCTGCACTCGACGCGCTTCATTTTTTTTACCTCGATTTTGCAACTCGTTGGGAATTTTTAAATTAACCCTTTGGCGACAATGCGGATTTGCACGCAGCAGTTCCTCTGCTAGAACCTGCTGCCTCTTTTTGGCGCGGCCACTCGGCACAAATGCGGCCAACATTGGTGTTTTTCATCTCAAAATTTATGACGCTATGACAATAAACAGAATATGACTGCAGTCTTAAGCTTTATGATCATGTAGTGTTGGATAATCGTCTTAAACGCTTCGGCTCCCCTGCAGTCCCCTCTCCCCAAGAACGGTATCAACTACATCGACTAGTGGTTGATTATTTTTCTTCCTGCTTCTATTTGAGGTATACTGTACGGCCATTGATTCAGGCTTCGACGCCATCATTTCACAAAACGCAACGGACCCTCAGGTAATCTCCCGCCGTCCTTAGTCACAAGAACTGGCAACATTTCAGTGGATTCTTCTGTGGATTGCTGACGAAGCGGCATGTCTTCGTTGGTGATTAATCTGATATTTTTACTGAATAAACTAGTGCATTTTAACCGCGTGGCACATTAGGAAGGCGAGCAGCCCCACATGCCGTGCCACTTTTCTCTGCCGTCGCTTGAATCCTTTAGCCGACATAGCTATGCCTATAGCACAAGCAATCAGAGGCTGGCGAAGAGCGAAAGAGCACTGTGCGCGTCATTTGCAAGTGACCGCCTCTGACACCCGTAGCGCACGCGTAAGGCAATTTCGTGCCAAGCAGATGCGATATTCGTGTTCAGCGCGTCGAAACACCCCTTTCAACAACATTTGGTCCAAATCTAAAATTTTGACCTGAAGTCGAAAATGTGGGCAGTCATCTATCCATCAACCCACTGTCAGGTGAAAGAGATATAGTTGCCTGCTCTACTTGCTCGTGCCATCCGAAGATTAATATGATATTTTTCACGTACACGCTCGCTGCCCAGGAGGAGCAGGAGGGTAGTGGCTGGGGCTAGGGATAACACCTACGACTCATTGTAGACCGAGTTTCGAAATTGGGTCCAAATGTCAGCTTTCTAGAATTAAGCCTTCAAAGATAGTTTGGTCCGTTGAGCAAGCATCTCCCATTTGTTTAGCCCATCGTCGGATATACGTCACTTCCGTGGCGTAGAAACACCTCGGCAAGGGTCGAAACATTACGAAAAAGTGGAATGCGTTAAACAAACCCCTCTAAACATGCGTTAGCTTTGGACGCAGTGAAAATTTCAACACTGAATAATTTTTTATTTTAAATTAGACCTAATTACAAAAAGCAAAAAATCCATGCCCAGCAAGATCCCATCCATGGTCTCACCACTGGAAGCCGCCAACACTACCACTCGGCCAAGCCGCCGCTGGAAGCCGAGCTCTGCGGAGTCTCTTACAGTGGGCTTTCATTCGAAACAACCTCCGTAACACTTTTCAGAGAATCGTTTCGCAAATTTGGAGAGTGGATTCGAGATCAGCGTCCGAAAACACATCTCTGAGTATAGGTTTCATTACGGATGGCCACTTCGACTTGGTATCCTTCCCTTGTCAGTCCCCTTCCTTTCTAATAAGGCTACGCTGACCATAAATGGTGAATGGACGGTGCCAGATCTGGGCTAAATGGCGCGGAAGGCAGAACGTTCCAGCTTAACTCCTCGATTTTCTGCTGCGCTATTTTCGCAACACACTCCGCTTGGCAAGTGTCGTTTTGCAGCTGCAAAATTTTTTTTTGCACCGATTTACTCTACCAATCACTCGTAAATGACTATCGTTTGTAGCTGCAGTGTAGCCAAACCCCTTAGGATTTCACATCGTGAATACTTTTGTTAAGTGCCATTTCTAAGTTCTTCATTAGCCAGAATTGCAAGAAAATTCTGATGAATTTTGCCTTTGTGCTTTCTGCCTCCTTTTAGAAAACGCAGCGGTCATCGCAGGCACTGCCGCAGGATAGTGCGCCTCACTGTCGAGTATTTCGCACAGAACACGATAGAACTCCTTACCCATTTCCATTGTTTTGGGTTATGTCACATGCACATGTCCACACGATGTTTCTGACCAAACGTCTTCAAACAAAAATTGTGGCTTGAATTCAAACATTCACAGGCAGATACAACATCGTAAAGTGCAGTTGGACACAGTCTCTCGAATGAGTGCACCCGCCTTGTGAGAGGTTGTGCTATAGCTCAGAAACTACGATGCAAATAGGAGCGACATTTCAATCTGGCCAACCTAATATATCCTCCACTACTGACCAGCCTCATCTCACCTATCTAAGCTAAACTTCCTGTCACCAAGGAGAAGCAGTCCGAGAGATGCAAAATGTTTATTATCTTTAATGAAAATTTGTTCAACAGTGCCCAGTCTAAGTCCAGTTTAGAATTTCTTCCCACTGGTCACAGTCAGAACGTCTAGCGATACGCTTAACGAGACTCTAGCTGTGCATATCTGTGATTTTGCCAGAGAATTTCAGATTCATTCGTTTTCCGCCTTAGAGCTGACGCAGCCTGAGCGTACGGACGTTGTTTTTGTTTGATGTACCCTTCGACATCAGGCAAAATCAACAGGACTCTTTTGCGAGGGTCCTGTTGATTTTTTAGTGTTCTCTTACTTGTTTTCATGATAGAATTTAAGGATACCTAGCTACGGTTTTCTGAGCTCCCAAAAATGGCTGCGAATCTCGTGATAGAGTCACAAGCGCATATGGAACCAACGCCCGGCTTTCACGGCGAAGCTCAGGAAAGTATTCAAACTGTAACTCTAATAGAGTTACCATACGCCGGACAAGTGCTGCTATCGTTGCTGAATGGATCAGAAAATGAACAGTAAAGGGGATCCGCACGGGCGTCCCATGATTTTGCAGCGGTCTTGAAAAAAGACAACACATTTCGGTAAGAAATGTAAACCTTCTGCATTGACCTTTTGACCTTTTTTGAATTGACCTTTTTTAAAGCACGACTCCACGACTTCTTCAACCCTAACATTGTGATCCCTTCTGAAATTCCGAATACGACACCCCAAGCAACAATCAGAATTACGGCATCCCTCATTGAGGATCTCCCAATGGACAGTTGAACATGGCGAGGACTCGTAGTGTCTCGTGCAAGATCACTGAAGCTGCTATCGTCGCGCATGTTCGCATCCATCAGTGGTGAAAGGCAGCGTTCACCACTCCTACCCTTCCGAATGTCACCCAAACAGATCAAGCCTTCCATTAGCATTTTCGGTGTTTTCCTGGACCAGTGTTGGCCTGAGCAGTATTTAAACAGGTTACTGTGTAGGCCGGGTCACTGTGAAAGTGCTTTCAGACTCCTGATAGTGAGTGGCATGAATGTACCCTTGGAATTTTTTTCTCTGTCAAACGGTTCATTTACATTTTGCCAACTCTTATCTGCCCGAGTACCCATTTGGGGTCACTATCAACCTGAAACTGTTTGCTTTGATCGCCGACAAGGCTCCTAACTTTATGAACACTCCGATGGGACTGCTTCATTGATTGCCGTTATCACGACGCCTGCACGAAATTCCAGGAAAACCTCAAGTTATAATAACTTCAGAGGTGGCGTTCCAATGAGGAGTCATTAAAACGTTTTTGTGGAACACATGGTGTCATGGCGGATGCTGTAGTGCTTCGCTATTGAGATTAACCGCTTTACTTTTACTTTACCCTTTCTTACTATTTTTGTTATGTTTCAATCAATTATGTCCTTGTTTCAATCTTATATTTTCCCGTACTCCGATGTAAACAAGAACATTGTAAACAATAGCTAAATAAATTAATTAACCCGTTGGCGCCGCACGCATTGCGCGCACAGCACAGTTCTGCCGTCTGCCGTTCTGCCATTATAGGATGGTGCGGCGTGAATTTTCGAATTTGGTCCAATACACGTCGAATATTGACTTTCAAGCTGAATTCTAACCGATTGCCCCATGCTTCATCCACCGATGGCTTTTGACCTTCCCTCCTTCCTCCACCAATTGTCGTAACGGTCAACCAATTGTCCGTATCCCGGGCCTAGGACTGCCACCGTTCCGATTTATGAACCTTCGTGGTAAACCCCGCCTATTTCTTTGCATGTCTCACCTATCTCCCAGTCTTTGAACTATCTGAGCCGATTTATAATTTTGGCGGCGAATCCTGCTCTTTTGGTGTATCCTCCGCACACCATTAGAAATTCACTTCCTTTCCTTCGCCCACTTCTCTCCCAATCTTCAGGACTTCTTGCAGCCGAGTCACAAAGTTTTGTGGAGAACTCCGCCCACCTTGGAAATGCCCCCGCCCCCCCCACCAACAACAGTTGGGTCTTCACTCCTTCACCCACCTCTCCACCTTTTTCCCGGTCTCCGGTTCTTGTTGGAACCAAGTTATGAATTTTCCCGTCGCAAACTCCGCCCGCTTTGGTGTACGCTCTACCACTAATTAAGATAAATTTCAGAATAGATATGCCACGCGGATATTAAGCCGGCAGTTCTGACGCCAGATTTAAACCAACGATTTATTGGGCGCACGGCGCACTCTCGAAAAATCTCTAAAAAGGCAAACATTATTAGGAACAAATAT